TGGGTTGCTGTTCATTTTATTTGCTTAGTGATTTCTTGATTGAGAGACAACTCAGACGAAGTAGGATTGGTTATAGCCTTTGTCATTTCTGTAGCATCTGATGCAGTGTTCTTCCAGGGGTCTGTGGGCCTTGAACTTCTGCATTTCTGAGCTTTGGCTCTCTGGGGGTGGGGCCCAGGGATTTGTGTATTTAACAAGCCACCTGGGGATTCTTGCGCACCCTAAAGATGCTTAAGAACCCCTGGTCTTAAGCCTTATAATAAACAAAGGTTTGAAGCATTACATGTAAAAAGTACGTACTGCTTTCTATAAACTATAACGAATAAGTGTTACTTCCTATGAAAAGGCAACACCAGCGCCTTTTCATCAGTGGGAGAGTGTCAGAACCAGATTAGTCAGATCTCAAGTTTTCTTACAAGAATGTGTTCAGATGACTAACGTTTTGTCATTCACAGGTATTGTAGCTGGTTTGCATTCTTCTTAATAGAGCTTTCTTCATTCAGAAAAAGCTGGAAACTATAGCAAATAACAGATAGGTCTAGCAGTTCCACATTCCTTTCAGTGAAATATTCCGTTTTACTGTCACTCCCATCTCTACTGGTTCCAACCGGGTTTCCAATAGGGAAAACACGAAGGCCTCACATTGCTAATTTCTGCTTTTTTACCAGGGAGTTTGAAAATCCTAAAAAATGTATGTAAGTGCAGTTGTCTGCATACTTAAAAAAGAACAGTTGAGAAAAGGCAGCACAGAAACAACTTAGGTACATCTGTGCACAAGTCTGTGTGTTGTGCTGTGTGCGCCACAAGGGTGGCTACCCTCTGTCACCATGCGATGCTATTACAGTGTCAGTGATTGTATCCCCTAGGCTGTGCCTTTTATCCTGGTGATGTACTCATTCCATACCTGGAAGCCTGTGCCCCTCACTCCCCTTCATCCCTTTTTGCCCATCCCCCACCCCTCCCCTGTGGCAACCATGTTTGTTCTTTACTTATGGGTCTATTTCTGCTTTTTATTTGTTTGTTTGCTCGTTTGCTTTGTTTTTCCACTGTGAGGACACAGTGAGAAGGAAGGCAGACAGCCATCTGCAAGCCAGGGAAAGGACCCCCCCCCACCGGAACAGACTGTGCTGGCACCCTGATCTCAGACTTCCCAGCCTTAGAACTTCGAGAAATAGATGTTTGTTGTTCAAATGCCACTCAGTCTGTGGCATTTTGTTCTTGTAGCCCCAGCTGACTAAGACAGGACGCTTAAAGAGATCTGGGTACGGCATAAAATTTCTCCCTCGAACTGAAATTTTTTAAAAGTCAGTGGATGAGCTAGAGGCAAGGATGATTACGTTCATGAATTAGTTGCCCACAAGGCAAAGTAGAAGAGATGCTGGAACATCAGGGCCAAATACAAAGAGAGAGAAACCATGAGGGGAAAGATAGAAGACTCGGGGGACAGATCTAGGGCATGTGAATAATCGGAGTTCCAGAAGGAGACAAAGAAACAGATGGAGAAGAAACAATAGCTACTACACAGAAGAAGAATCTGAGACAACAGATTGAAAATTTCACTGAGTTCCAGGTAGAATTGAAATAAAAAAAAAAAATCCACACTTAGGTACATTCTGATAAAACTGAACTCCAAAATAGAGGAACAAAATCTTACAAACTTCTAGGTATAAGGAGCTGAGAAATGTAGAGAGGAAGAAGCACCAGACCTGTCAGTCTCGAAGCTCACTGGGATGAAAGGCCTTGAAGTCAAGAATTCCATACCCTTTTGGGGCGCCTGGGTGGCTCAGTTGGTTAAGCGACTGCCTTTGGCTCAGATCATGATCCTGGAGTCCCGGGATCGAGCCCCGCATCGGGCTCCCTGCTCGGCAGGAAGCCTGCTTCTCCCTCTCCCACTCCCCCTGCTTGTGTTCCCTCTCTCTCTGTCTCTCTCTCTCTCTCTGTCAATTGAATAAATAAAATCTTTAAAAAAAAAAAAAAGAATTCCATACCCTTTCAGTTGATCCCTACCCTTCAGGGTGAGGGAAGGAGGATTATCAATGTGGCAGGGATTCAGTCTTTATCCAAGCGCCTGATCTAAGGAAAGCGTTAGGGAGTCTACACAGAGACCCTAAGATAGGGGAAAATGCCCAGAGGTAGTCAGTGATCCACAAAACAAGACCTAGAGTATTTCATGTAAATGGCTATTGAAGGATGCCTGGGACTGGGTAACAGAAGCGCTGAAAAAAGAAGAAAAAATTATTGAAATAGAAGCGACATTTTACAAGCAAAATTCTAATTATAACCCAACTAGAAGTCCCAAGTTATTTTAGCAAAGTCGAGTTGGGGTGAGGGAAGAAAAGTAAAATCCTTCCCAATAAGCCGTTTGGGTTGGAGGGTGAAGAAGGGTGGGCGTGAGGTTTGCCGAGTGTCTCGTTTGGAGGAGGGGGAGGACCCCGTGGGAACAGAGCCTGGAGTAGACGCGTGTGGTTATGGACGCGGGGAAGGGAAGGAAGACATTCATGGACTAGCAATGGCCAGGAACATTCCCCAGTTCACAAGGGGAGGGAGGACGATGAATGGCAACCCGATTAAACCTGTCAAAATAAGGAAAAGGAGCGAGGAAGCAACATACATTGTCTATATAAAGCGAGATGAAAGGTCGAATGAAAACACAAACAGAGGGCAGTGTCATGATTGAAGGTATTCTGTGGAGCCAGAATAACTGTGGCTTTGGGCAAGCTGCTTAATATCTTCGAGATTTCACCTCCTATGAAATGGGGATAGTAGTGGTACCTGCTTCAGAGGGTACTATGTGAGGTTTAAGTGGGTTAACATACCTACAGCATGCAGAATAGGGCCTGGCGTCCAGTTAGGCCAAGCAGGTGTTTGCTCTCTTATTTATAGAGCATGGTCACAATGTTAATATTAGGCGAGAAGAAACAACATTAAAAGCACCACATCAGAAGAGAAGGTTATCGTGTAATGGTTACGGCCACTTTTATCACAAATCTGTATGTGCCAAATAAGATGGCAGCTAAATACATAAAATGAAAGTGTTAAAAATGTAAGGAGAACTCGATGAAAATATTTTACAAGGGGGGAATTCATAAAACATCTTTCACAGATGGAGAGATCTACCAAAAATAAGTAAGATCTAGAGAGAGTGAATAATGGAATCAACAAACTCAGTCTTAACAGACAATATTGAACCTTTTGTTCCTGCACTGGTTTTTTTGCATGAAACATTTAATAAACATGTGCCACAAAGCAAACCCTAATACATTCAAAAAACTAAACATATCACAGACCATATTTTTGATCCTAAGCCAGTAAAAGTAGAAATAAATAAGAAAAATGACCAAAAAACTTAACTGCTTGAAAATGAAAAAACACAACTCTAATCCTTAGATACCTCAATGTCATCAGAGCAAAGAGGAATTCAAAACTGAAAACCGTAAAAGGGAAAGAACTTCACACCCAACCTATGGACACAGCAAATACTGTTCTAAATAAAGTCTTCATTATGAAGGAAGACATAAATAAAGGAACTCAATGCTCATCTTGTAAAATAGCTAAAAGAGTGAGTCAACCCAAAAGGAAGCAAGAAGAATGTAAAAATATGAAGCTGACGTTAATCAAATAGACAAAAATGTTTAAATGGTTGAAAGGGAAAAGATATAAGAAATCAAGGGCTTCTTTGCAAAGGGGAGGGAAGGTGGTAGTGGTGGTGCGGGCAGCGTGAGGGACAGAATCAAGGTGGAGAAGGGGAGGACGGGAAGGAAGGCATGTAGGAAAAAATAAGGAAATAGAAGAAACGTCGGATATAACCTTTTGCTTTTGAGTGGTCTCCTGTGACCTAGGACTCAGGTTCTCTAGTCCGTCCGTCCGTCCGTCTGTCTGTCTGTCTATGTCTGTCTGTCGTGCTTCAGCTTAACCTCTTTCCTTTTTGGGGAGCAGCATGGCAGAGCGGTTACAGCGTAGGTTCTGGAGCCAGGCTGCTGGGTCAGTCCTGGCTGGTCACTTGCCGTCCATGTGACTTTGGATGTATCATATCAGCTGCTTGTGCCTCAGTCCTGGCCCATAACATGGGGGTCCTGAGAGCGTGGATTTGATTTGGTGCATGGCAGCATGCAGCAGCACCAGGCTCCTCTGTCTGGTACGTGCTCAGTAAACAACCAGGGGTTGTCCTCACCATCCCCATCTCCATCATTCCTTCGAGGATTTCCCAGGGTGGATGCTCCACGAGGCCACGCTTCCGCTGGGCCACCTGATCTTCGAGCCGTTCTGCTTTCATTTAATGCCTTTCTAAGAGACACCATTCTGCCTTTCCAGCATAAATACTGTTCTCAGATAAGTGCTAGAAGAAGATCAGCATTTGCTGTCCTGGCTACATGCTAGGTATTATAAGTGCTTCCTGTGTTCTATCTCCTGTAACATTCACAGTGCCCTGAAGAGTACAGTCACCTTTGAACAGAGGAGGACAAGGAAGCTAAGAGAACTTTACACACTTGCCCAGGACCACACAGCTAGAGGAACTGAATTTGGACCTGTTTGACAACCCCTGCCCATCCCTGTCCCTACTTGTTCTTAATTTTTTGCTTCCTGATAAATTTCGGCAGTGTTCACTTAAAGCAATGACTATTGAAAAATAGCCTGGGGTGGTAGAAAGAGCTCTGAACTGTATAGCAAATGTCCAGGGTCTTAGTCCCAGTCTGAGCTTTGCCCCGTCCTACAGCAGCAGGAGAGGGGGGCGGGGGGGGGGGGGGGGGGGGCCTCCACCAAGTCACGTGACACCCAAGTCTCAGGGTTTTTAGTGGCAGATTAAGGGACTGTGTCTGTGTGAGATCTCAGGTCTCTCTAAGCCCCTGCTTCTCTGTACACGTGTATATCAGGTGGCTGTTAAAAAGGAGCCTCTTATGAATGGAGTTAAATGTTCTTATTTTTGCCAAAAGTAGAAAATGCTTTTGTGGCAGCAGGTACATTCTCAGATGACCCTCTTGGTGGTTTTTTGTGTCGCCCAGGTACTCCAGGAGCAGATCCGGGCCCGGGACAACATCAGCTATGGAACGAATTCTGCCTTAAAGACTCTGGAGATGCGTCAGCTCTCCGGTTTGGGAGACCTTCGGGGAAGAGTGGCAAGGTAGGTGGTCGGATGTGTGGGACTGGATCTACCAAGAGCTGTTTCTCATCAACTCCATTTCACAAAGTATATATTCACAAAGCCCCAAAGCAAATTCTTTGTGTTCTTCTAGTATATCCCCTCCTTTGCCCGTAAAATCTAAGGTAGAATTTACACCTGATTATGAGCATGCCATGATTTCTTATGTTGCTGCAGTTGATGCTGTGTTCAGGGAAGTAAATGTTGATGGGAGAGCACAGCAGACCTGTGTAATTTGGCATTCGAAATATTACGTTTATTGACCCCAATAAGATAAAGTTGAGACTTAATTTTGTGTGTCTCTTTTAAAATTTTCATTTTCCTTGTAATTTATTTTTATTTTATTTTCTGAAAATATTGGTCTGCCATAGATTAGAAATTTAGAAAAAGAGATCTTTGACCTCAGATAGTATAGAAGGCGCTGTTCCATCCCCTTGCTACTGAAAGCATGCTCTGTGGACCAGCAGCGTTGGAGTCACCCAAGAACCTGTTGGAAATGAACGATTTCTAAAATATTTATGGGCCGCTTCTGCCCTCTGCTGCCATTAAGAGTCAAGTACAAGTCTACACGGGAGCTGTTCGAATCAGGCTGATGTGAAAATGAGGGTGGTCTGTAAAGGGTTGGATGGAAGAAAGAACAGGACCCACAGGATCCAAAGCCTCTGTGGAGCAGAGGAGGGTAGTGTTGGGGTATTTGTGCAGACAGCACATGAAGGACCTTGAATGCTGGGTTTGGGTCTGGTGGGTGAACATCAGTCTCATAGCACAGGGCTCCATGGATTGAATGTAGGCCTAGTTGTGTGGTTTTCTATTCTCATTTGGGTCAGCTCCAGTCTTCTTAGTATGACCCTTGGTGATGAACCCCACTGACTTCCTTATCTCTCTCACCCTTGGCACTGTAACTTTCAGCAGTGATCCGCTATTTGTTATTCCCTGAATGGGCCATGCTCTCCTATCTGTGTACCTTTGCACATGCTGTTCTTGCACTCAGCATGCCTTTCCCCCTTTTTTTATAACTTCTAGTCAGCGTTTCAAGTTCAGCTCAAATGTTGCCTCCTCCAGGAAGTCTTCCCTGATAGGCCACTCTCCTGAGCTCCCCTAGCATTCTGTTCTATTGAATCTATCTGTTTTCTTTGCTGTCTTGGGGCAGAGTACCATATCTTTTACTTTTGTAATATGTGTGCATAGAACAGTTCTCTGGAAAAGAGTAGATACTCAATAAATGTTTGGATGAATTAATGATCTAGAAAATCACTGTAACAGGACTGAAAAACCTGGATTCTTTTTGTGGAGATTGGCTTAAAAGCAACCCCTTTCTGCGATACCTCCCAGAAGAGTGAGGAATTAGAAGGGCTTCAGAGCTACAGGGCGGAGCAGGGACTTCTGGAAAATTTGAGGATCTGCCCATGCAACAAGTACTTTACTCTGAAACAATCACAAACATTTGTTGTGAGCACCCCCTATTTTTGCTTTTTGTGGCTCTACTAGTCTATCCCCAGAATGCTAATGAGACTTATTGTTGAAATCAACTTACGTGAAAAAAAATTCATTGGCGAAGTTTTAGCTTTCTTGCATTGAATTGGAGGAGTATGAGCTTTTTTTTTTTAAGATTTATTTATTCATCTGAGAGAGAGAGAGAGAGAGTGTGAGCAGGGGAGGGGCAAAGGGAGAGGGAGAAGGAATCTTAAGCACACCCCATGCTGAACGCAGAGCCCGATGTAGGGCTCGGCACAGGGCTGGATCTCACGACCCTGAGATCACGACCAGAGCCAAAACCAAGAGTCGGATGCTCAATCGACGGAGCCACCCAGGCGCCCCAGGGGTATGAACTTTTTAAGTGATAGTCTTAAATTATTAGGCTTCTGTATTGTTTCAGGTTTTATTTTCTAGCGTTTATGGATCCACTGGTGATTCACTGATAGAAAGCAGGCTCCGCGGCTTCCCCTGTGATTCTGAGTGGAGGAGAGAGACGCCTTTTTACCCCACTAAGAGCGGCACACTCTGAACAGGACTTTCTCAGAGGGTTTCCCCTCCCCCCTAAAGTGGAGCTAAGGGAGTTCAGCTTTCCCATTCCTACTGGAACAGTTGGTCCATTACTTGGCCTTCTGCTCAGCGGCCACTTCCAGTTTCCTCTACAAGGTCTGTTTTTGTGGCATCAGAGCCTTAGAGGAGAGATAGCTGCAGACTGAGGCAGACGCACAAATTCCCTCAAGGTAAGCAAGTCCAGGTGCACGGGAAAAAAGAGATAAATTAGACATTATCAGATTAAAAATCTTAGGCTCTTATAAATAATGCTGCCACAAACATTCACATACAAGTTTCTGTGTGGCCATATGTTTTTATTTCTCTTAGATATACCTAGGAGTGTAATTGTTGTGTAATGTGGTGACTCTATATTTAACCCTTTTTTTTTTTAAAGATTTTATTTATTTATTTGAGAGATAGAGAGAGCACGAGTGGGGAGTGGGGAGAGGGAGAAGCAGGCTCCCCGCTGAGCAGGGAGCCTGATGCGGGGCTCCATCCCAGGACCCTGGAATCATAACCTAGGCCGAAGGCAGATGCTTCATGACTGAGCCACCCAGGCTCCCTGTCTTGTGGTTTTGATTTGCATCTCCCTACTGACTAATTGTACTAAACATCATTCAACGTGCTTATTGGTCATTCGTACGTCTTCCTTGGAGAACTGTTTATTCAGATCCTTTGCCCATTTTTAAGTGGATTAATTGTCTTTTTATTATTGAGCAGTAGGAGGTTCTTTATATATTCTAGATTCAGTTCACTTATCAGATATCTGAGCTGAAAAAGTTTTCCCCCTTTCTAAGGGTTTTCTTTTCATTTTCTTGATTGGGTCCATTTGGTCCTTTTAAAAAATTATTTCTGTCTCTTTGTTGATATTTTCTACTTGATGAGACTTTGTCATTATACCTTCCTTTACTTCTTAAAGGGTGTTTTCTCTATTTCTTTGATCATCCCGCATTTATTATGGCTGCCTTGAAGTCTGTGTCTTTTAAATCTGACACCTGTTCCCTCTCACTGGCAGTTTCTTTTCCTGCTTTTATTCCGTGTTTAGTTCACATTTTCTGGTGTCTTTGTGTGTCTCATAATTTTTAATAAGAACTGGACATTTTAGGTAAGAGAGCATAGCAGTCCTGGATGTTGACAAGCCCTTACCCCCATTTGCTTTTGTTGTTGTTTGTTTAGTGACTTGGCTGGGTTATTTTAGTGATGTCTGTTTCCCCTGCAAAATAAAGCATCTGGTGCTCAGTCATCCTGTGAAGACAGTGGTTTTAGCAAGACTCTCTTTGACTGTCTCTTTCCCCGATCTTTTATTAAGCTGGTGGCCTCTGCAGGTATCACACCCAGATCTTAGGCTCCATTAATTGCTGGTAAATTGCTCTACTGTTTGTTTGCTGTTTGTTTTTTAAAGATTGATTGATTGATTGATTGATTGGGTCGGGGGCGAGAGAATGAACAGGAGGGGCAGAGGAGTGGGAGAGAGAATCTCAAGCAGACTCGCACTGAGCGTGGAGTCTGACTTGGGGCTCAGTCTCACGACCATGAGATCATGACCTGAGCTAAAACCAAGAGTCGGACACTTAACCGACTGCGCCACCCAGGTGCCCATCTACTGTTTTTGACAATACCCTGTGACATAAATTGCTCTACAATTTGATTCAATTAAATTATTGCCTGCCGTTAAGGGCTTAATTTTGTATATATGCAGGGATTATTATATATATTATAGGTAATAATAATATGGAATATGAACAACTTAATGTTTTAAATGTCACTGCCTTTGGTGCGCTGTGCTACCGTGTCACAGACTATAAGAGACATTCTGCTTAAGCATGTTGCCTGGTCAGGTCCATTGCTAGACGTTTGGGACTCTGTTGATGGACTTCTGACCACATCCCGACCATTGATCTGATAACCAGGTGAAAAGTTACTCTGCCGCATGAGGGCCACAACCAAGAACTGCACCTGGGAGACAGCTGTCTAAAGACCTGAAAAGGGAAATTTTGGAATGACTACATTATTGGTTCATCTATAATATAACATTGGGATAAAATAGGGCAACTGGTCAGATTCATTGTGAATTCTTGTTTAACAAAAGCTGTTGAGCCATGCACACAGCTATATTTAGAACCCTGAGGCTGTCTTTTATGAGTGTTTTTTTTTAAGACAAGAATGATGCCTTTAATTAGATATTAGCTAAGACCGCTATATAGCTGCCCCCTTTTTTCTTATTTATCTCTTTATTTTGAAATAATTTGAAACCTACAGAAAATTTGCAAGATTCACAAGTGTTAACATTTATTTACTCTATTATTCTTTTCACCATGTAAGTTTTTTTTCCTGAAATATTTGAGAGTAAGGATAACTTTCTTTTTAACATAAGAAAATGGGAGTTGATTCCACTGTGTGTGTTTTCTGATGGCAGGCTTTGGTATCCTACCCTGCACACACACACACACCCCGTGCCCCCCCCACCACTGGTTTGTCCCCTTATTTATAAACGTATAGAAGTGAAATGTGCTGGTAATAAATAGAAACATTATGAAACATGTAACATAAAAAAATGAAGGCTCACCAGCCCCTTGCTCTGTTTTACTCCTTACGGGTAACTAATGTTTAGCAGCCTGCTGTCTGTCCTTTTAGACTTTTTTTATACATAGTTATAAGGTGATAATTTATCATCATAGTAATATGATGATTTGCAGCATAACAATTACCTAACAGTGTGAGTTTAATTTTACCAAGTATTATATATATTATTCTGCAATTTCAGTGCTCCCGCATAGCAATATATTGTGGGCTTTCTTCAAGTATGCATGTAGATCTAGCTTTCTACTTCCTTGGATATGGAGGGTCCTGCTACATGGGGGTGCCGTAATTTAATCTATGTAACTACTCCTTGGTGTTAATGGAAATTTATGTTGTAGTATTTGTGTTTCCAAGTGAGAAGTAATACTGAACCCAAG